ATGAACGGGGCCTGTAAGCCTTAAGTTTTAGGCTTTTAGGCTGAATGTCCGGGACGGGCCCTGTAGGGCCCGTGTGGCTACGCAGTATGCCACACACCTCCACTTCTTCCTGGTCCATACTTCTAGGCGTGAAGGGGGCAGCCAGTTCCGCTTTGCCCACCGGTCTCTTAACTCCTCCCAGATGTCCTAAGACGGGAGGAGCGATCGGTAGATGAGCTTGGTCGTCATCTGCTGCAGCGGAATCTTCGTCTTTAAATGATTCTGCTTAGGCCACGTCCAATCCTGCGGGTCCCATGGAAGGTCCCGCCGCCTCGTAGACAGCCGAAAGGGGCGCCTGCAGTCCGCGGGGCCTTTATCCCCTTGGCATACCGCGACCGTTTCCACTGCACACTTAGGCAGGCTACCACCTTTACCACACCTAGTCACTGGGTCTCCCAGGCCCTGATGGCCAGTACTGACTTTCCACGGGGTGACTAGTACCACCTCTCCTCGGTCCTCTTCCACCCTGTAGATCATGGCTGGAGTGTCCTCCCCTTTATTCTTAACCCATTCGCCACTGCAGAGCTTATCCTCCCTGAGCAGGTCCACCCATTGGGTGGGGATGGCTTGCTTGATATCCTTCAGCCTTTGGCTCCTTTGCACCTGGTACGGGAGGCCTGCAGCCATTTCTGCGTCAGTCTTCCAATCATGAGCTGCCTCATCCCAGAGGTGACCAATCTTAAAGACACCTTGCTCAGCCCATTGTCTGCCAAATGCACCGAGACGCCCTTGCCATGCGAAGACATCCCCATTCTCATCACAGATGAACCTGTTATCAAACAGCAGCTGGTTATATACGGCATCCGCCGTCGCAGGCTCAACATTGAGCATGTCAATCTTCTTCCACATTCCCAGCGGGGCGGACCAGACTGCACCCCTTCTCACGTGCCCAATGAGATTACTGCTGGCCAGCCCTACCTCTACTAATGCCGGCGGCAGATGCAGCGTGTGGGCCAAGTGCTGCCTAGTTAACAGGCACCATTGCTCTCCAACGGTTCTAAGAAGGAACCACAGTAGGTGCCGCATTTGTAGTGCCATCATCTGTAACGGTGGCTCCAATAGCCCCAACCCTCCTTCGCTCCTTGGCTGAACCAGCTTTCTCCATGCCACTCTGCAAATGGAATCCAAAGCATCTGCATTACTGGACCATAAGTACGCCTGGATGGCCTGCCGTAAGTACGCAAAGGTCCGTCTCCCTGGCATACGAATTGCTCCTGCGTACCAGAGGGTGGCGAAGATGGAGTTTTTAATCACAATGGACTTGTCGAAGACCCCAAGGTGCACAGCAGTACCCCATGCGCTCAACTTGGCTGTCGCCGCCACCACTTGCATGGCCATTTGCTCCACTCCCCCCCAGCTTGGAGTTAGGCTGGCCCCAAGGAAACGCAGTCGCTCTTCACCCACAGTGGGCATATCCCAATTCGCAGGCGGGTCCATGTCCGGGGGTAGGATAGCCTGGGACTTTTCCCAGTTTACCCGTGCTCCGGAGTATTTGCAGAAGATTGTCAGGTCCTCCTGCAGGACCCTCAACTGTTAAACTGTGGGAGGAATAATAGCTCCTGTGTCGTCTGCAAAAGCGGACGACCGGAGTTCCCCACTTTGCTGAAGGTCCAGGCCCTGCAATCTGCAATCTTCTCGCAAAAGCTCATGGAGAGACTCAATATAGATGACATACAAGGCTGGCGATAGGGGGCAACCTTGCCTTACTGACCTGGTTACCTTAATCTTTTCTGACCGAATCCCATTTACTTGCATAACTGTGGCAGCCTGATTTAGCAGACACCTGACCCAGCTCCGAAAGATCACCCCGATGCCTCGTCTGGCCATTGCTTGTAGTAGAAACTCCCATCTGACCCTGTCGTATGCCTTCTGCAGGTCAATAGAGATAAAGGCGAGCGATTGACCAGATATTTCCTTCTCTTCGAGCACCTGCTGTGCCAATAGAATACTTGACACTATCTGCCGTCCTGGGACGAAGACTGTTTGCGAGGGGTGGATGAGCACGGGCAACACGCTGCTAAGCCTTGTGGCCATTATTTTGGCCAAAATCTTATAATTTGCGTTAAGGATCAGTTCTTGACATCTTCCTTGGGCCCCTTCTACGAGTCCGCAAAGCCCTCAAGGAGGGATTCTCGCTGAAGTGCTTCGTTATAGGCCTCCGCTAAGAGGATGGCGAAAAAATTCTTGAATTCCTTAAAGAGCTCGATGAGAATCCCATCAAGCCCTGGCGTCTTCAGCCGCGGAAGAGCGGTAATTGCCTGTTCCACCTCCTCCGGGGTAATGTCCTGCTCCAGCTTGCAGCTGTTTTCCAAATCTAGCTTAGACTGTACATATCGCCACAGCTCCTCCTCTGGCTGGGCTTCCATGGCCTCAGCGGTCCAAACTTCCTCCTCCGTAAACAGGTCCTTATAGAAGTCTGTCACACATTTAAGGATGCCACGCGTAGTCTCCTGCCTGCCCACTTGCGGGTCGTACGGGTGCTCCATCGCTGCCATGATCATGGAAGACTTCTTCTGCTTGAGCTCAGCAAAGAAGCGCCTAGCCATCTTTTCCCCCACCAGTATCCATGCTTCCTTATCCCGATGGCCCCAACAGACCGCATCCTCAATCTGCCATTCCCTCCACTGTCGTGCAGTCTCCATTCGCTCCGCCCACCATTCATTTTCCTCCATATCCCCTGGCCCTACATCCAAGGACTTGAGCCTTTCCACGAATTCCTGACCCGTACCCTGGTGCGCCATGTGCTGCAGCCTTAACTAGGCAAGCAAGGACGCCTTCAAGTCCGCCATGGCCTCTGTGATGCGTGCCAAATAGCCCTCCTGAGGACAGCGGTCGGCCCAGTCCTCCCAGAATTGGAGGACAGTTGGCCGATACTCCGGACTAGTGAAGACCCAAGCTGGGATCGAGGTCGGGGGTTTACCCATCTCCATCCTCCCTATTGCGTATGACGTGATTACCGCAGCATGGTCCGACGTTGCCATAATTAAGGTAAGAGCTTCTTGGCACCGCTGGGGCCCAAATCATGTCAATGCGGCTGCGCCGATTGGGGGCAGTGCCACAAAACGTGTATTCCCTGACGTCCGGATGTAGAGTATGGAAGGAGTCGCTGCATCCTAGGGCTGCCATGCTTGTGCGCAGGGCAATGGAGTCGCCATTCGCAGTTTCTTTTTTTTTTTATAAAAGGGTTGCGAGGTGTCGGGGATTCAACTCCTACGGGGAAGCCAGCGGGAGGCTTCATGCACCAGATTCAGCCAACCCGTCGGCGTGGTGGCCTCACCCACACACAGAATCACTCAAGTCAAGGCTCAAATCTTCGCCACACACCCACTCTGCCAGTGTCACCCAGGACTGGTGCTACCCAGGCGCCGCGACTCGGAGCAGCCCCCTCCGAACTCAGGGTCCTGCATCCCCATTGCACCCTGACGGGAGGCTGCAATTGCACCACAGTCGCCTGGTGCGCAGGGGATGAGCGTCACTCCTGCTAGGGGGGGGGTGTCGAATCACTCCCAGCAGCACTCCTCTTACTGAGTCCACCCCCCTTACAGGGCTGAATCCCCCCATGGTCTCAACAACCCCAAGGGGAGTGTGCACGCTCGAACCGTTACGGGGACCCAGGATGTACGGTTCCCCCTGGTTCAGGCTTGTCAGGCCCAGTTGTACATCCGTACCCCTGGAAGCATGCGCACTCAGTGTGCGAATGGCATGGCGCTATGAAAGCGCGGAACGTCGGAAAGCGCAGGCCGTGAGTTTTGAACCCACAACCTGAGACCACAATGCGCATTTCCAGACGCTGTCCTAACCACTCGGACATCCAGCCATTCGCAGTTTCTTTTTTTTTTTTTTTAACTCACACACACACATGCCCCATCTATTCTGGGGGGCGTCAGTCCGGTTGCTTATCACCGGCAAGCAAGTAAAGTAAAGGTGCGAAAAAACAGACAGTAAGACAGCAATGAGGTTTCTGGGAGGTATCGGCTCTGGCCGGCGCCAGTGGCCGCATGCGACAGGTTGAAAACTACCAGTGAACTCGGGAATTTCCGACCCTGAAGGGGGATGTTACCGGGAGCGGCGGGAGGCGAAACGCACCCAGTCGTAACGTCCCTCCCCCGGGCCGAGATTCTCGCTAGACTGGTCCTTCTCCCCTCGCTCCCTCCCTCGCAGAAGAAAACTTCCTATTCTTCCCCCTATGTCTATTTCCCCTCTTTCCCTTCTGCCCCCTATCTCCCTGTTTTGATCCCTCTTGTGCAAAGTCCCTTTACCCAGCCATGATTGGCCCCATTCCCTCCTGGTTTAGTTGATCCTTTTCCAACCCTTTCCCTCAGCCTTTATCGGCACATTTCCCACAAACCACTCCTTTCACAGTTTCCAGCCCACTACCTGTATATTCCCCTATTAATCCCCTTACACTTCCCCTCGCTCTATCACACTGTACTTCCTCTGTTTCCCCGAAACACGTTCAGTGCGTTTATCCCCTGCAGTCTGTGTTTCTCTATTTTACCTATCGTTCCGCAATCAATCAAGATGTAATTCCTCCCTTTTTCCTCCTGATGCAAATCCTTTATCTATCAAACGAGCTGACCCCGCTTTCCCTATTTTTACACAGTCTCACTCTAGTTCTACATTCCCCGTTCCCTATTCTACTTACCTACTGTGCTTCTCACTCATCTCCCCCCACTCTGTTATCGCACAGCCCCGCTGACCCCGCTTTCCCTATTTTTACACAGTCTCACTTCTAGTTCTACATTCCCCGTTCCCTATTCTACTTACCAACTGTGCTTCTCACTCATCTCCCCACACTCCGTTATCGCACAGCCCCGCTCTCCCCCTCTCTCCCAGTTATTACACAGTCAATTTCTACTTCGTCCTTTCCGCTTCTCTCAATTTTTATACATCATCACTCAGCGCTATCACACCTCTCTCAAGTTATATACAACCTCTCTTAGCACTCCCCTGGCTCCCCCCTCTCTCCCATTTTCTGCTCAGTCTTTCTCTACTACTTCACTCCCCGTCCCCTTTTCTGCCCATTCCCCTCCCTCAAATTTTGTACATCCTTACACCACGCTTTCACCCCTCTCAAGTTTTATACAACCTCGCTCCACTCTTGCGCTCCCCTTCCCCCCCCCCTATCCACCCCACCCCACTCATCAGTTTTTCCTCAACATGGGCTATCCACTTCCCCCACATCTGTCCACCCCTGGGATTCAGTTCCCTTATCGGTGCTCACTTCCTGGGCCATCTCCCACTCTGGTCTCTCGTTCCCCTGTTGACAATCTTGTGTCCCGTCTTCCTGGGTCCTCCCCCTCTCCGGCCTTTCCGCTGTCTGCTGCCTTTCTTGTGTCCCACTTTCCATCTGTTCCGCTTCAACTGGCCGTTCCTCTTCCGGCTGCCTATCTGATGTCCCATTTTCCGGCCGCTCAGACTCATCTGATGGTGTCTGTGCTGGTGTCTGTGCCGGATCCCCCTCCTCCTGGTCCGGTAAGTCCCCTTCCCTGTTAATGCGGAAGCCATCGCTCCATTCCCATCTGCCGGGCTCCGTATTCATTTGTAGCACATCCGTGTAGGCCCCCCATGCCTCCCTGGGGAAGGGCCAGCTCCCCTTCTGTTTTCTCTGCATATCCGCCGTGACAGCCGCCTTGAGGTTCCTCAGGAACCAATGCTGCAATGTTTTCACCAAACCTTTCACTCCCTCAGTCAGTAGCCTCCCCCTCATTGCCCACATTGCCACCCAGAATGCGCCTCTTATCATATCCCCTGCATACGCCTGCACAGGGCGAGTCGCTCCTCCCACCAATATCTGGCCCACTAGTACCTCCGCCCTGTGGTTGGGCGATCCAGGATGTAGTGGCACCTTGGTTCCCATTGTGCCCCACCATTCCCAAAACGTTCTCTGCGGGTCACATTCCAGCCACAGGTGCGGGATGGTCTCCTCCTTCTGTCCGCAAGCTTTGCATAGTGTGTCTGTTGATGCACTGTATGCAGCCATCCATTGGTACGTTGGCACCACCAGCTGCAGGTTGAGCCACAGGCCCCCCGCCTGTTTTTGGTCCGGCAATATCGTGAGCACAGTACAGGCCTTCTCCCACGTTCGCTGTGTCCAACTCGCCCCTTCCGTCTGTTGCTAGTGGTTCTCCATTCCCACATAGACGGATCCCAGGGGATCTGCAGTGGGTGTTGACGTATTTTGAAGGGTCTGAAGCTATCCCCCTTCTTTTGTCTTTTGTCTCTCACCACCACCACCGACCGCATGTTGGCTTTGTGTATGACACCGTCTCGTTGTTCCTGTCTCCTCAAGGGATGTCCCAGCGCTTCGTCCGTCTGTGTCGCTCCCCAGCCTTCAACCCAGTACCAGTCCTCTTGGTCCTGTGCCAGTGTTCTGAAGAGCGTCTCTGGTGGTTCTTCTGTCTTCAAGGCCACCCATTCCCCTTTCACCCTTCTGTTGTGGCTCAGCCTTTGCTTCCATGCCTCCGGGATCGCCTTCCTTACTTGGTCCAATCGCTGCTTCCGATCCGCCTGATGTCTGAGCGCTGCCTCCAGCTGTGCATCTTCCTTCCATTCGCCCCTCTCCTCATCCCACAGATCCACCACCCTGTACACCCCACATTTTAACCATTGTCTGCCGAACGCTCCTTGCTCCCCTTGCCATGGGAATGGATACCCATTTCTGTGAATTCTCGCGTTTCCAAACAGTGATTGCCCCAGGATTTGTGTCACTGTTTGCGGTTCCTTCTGTCGCAAGGCCGATCCTCTCCATTTGAGCAGCGTTGGCGACCACAGTTCATGCAGTGCCAGTCCTTTGAGAAGTTGTGGATGCAGCAGCGCCGTCTCCATGTCCGCCGGTTCCAGCCTCAATGCCCGGGCCATGCTTGCAAGGGTAACCACTTTCCATGGGGCCTCGTCGTTCTCCATCAGCAGCCATATTACCATCCTCATCTGGAGCGCTGTCGCTTGTTTGTGGGGATCCAGCAATCCCAGGCCACCGACTTTCCTTGGCTGAATGAGCTTTTACCACCTGACTCTGTAAATCAGGTGTGGAACTGCAGGATCGTTTTTCCATAGATACTTCCTTAGCCCCATCTTATACTCCCTCCATGCCCTCTTCCCAGGAGCCGAGAGCGGTGCCACGTACCAAAGCATGGATGACACTGCGTTGTTCGCCACCAGAACCCTTCCCAAGATGCCAACATCCGTTTTTCCGGCCCAGCGGTTCATCCTTGTTATGGTCGTCATCAACAGGTTCTCCATTTGCTCTCCCGTGGATAGCACCGCAGGTATCAGAATTCCTAGGTATTTAGTGTTCTTTCCTCCTTGCACTATACGCATATCCGGGAAGCATTCCGCCCCTCTCCCTGCTGGCAGCATCACCACCGACTTCTGCCAGTTAACCTTCGCTCCCGCATATGTCTCAAAAGTCCCGACTTGTTCTCTGACCGCTTGTACACACCCCTCCGAACATTCCACGAAAGCCGCTGTGTCATCCGCAAAGCTGTTGGACTTTAGCTCTCCCTGTCCCGGGAGGGGCAGTCCCTTAATCCTTGTGTCTTGTCTCAGCATTTCATGGAGATGTTTCACGTACAGGATGTACAATGTCGGAGACAGGGGGCATCCCTGCCGTACCGATCTTGTGACCTTCAGCAGGTTCGTCCTGAAGCAGTTAATTTGCACCGCCGCTGTTGCTGATGCCAGTAGTACCTGCACTGCCGTTCTGAATCTCACCCCGATTCCTCGCCCCTCCAATCCTTGTAGCAGGAAGCTCCATCGCACCCTGTCATACGCTTTCTCAAAATCTAAAAGCATGACGGCCAAAGGCGGTTCTTGCTCCGTTGCCCTTTCCAAAACCTCTCTGACCATTATAACATTGGTTAGTATTTGTCTAGCCGGAACAAACCCAGTTTGAGTGGGGTGCACAAGTCCCGGAAGCACCGCAGTCAATCGGTTAGCCAGTACTTTAGCATATAGTTTGTATGGCGCCGAAAGTAATGACACCGGCCTCCAATTTCGTATCTCCGTCGGGTTGCCTTTCTTGTATAGAAGGATGATATTCGCCTCACCAAATCCCTCCGGGGGTACCTGCGCGTCCTTGAAGAATGAGTTGCAGATCTCCAACAGCAAGGGACCGATCACATCGCTCGCTGCTTGCAGATGGTCCATTGGCATACCGTCCGGGCCGGCCGCTTTATTTTTAGGCAGGTCCGACAAGGCTGTCTTAATTTCCTGCAATGTAATCTCCTCTTTCAGTCTCACCGACTGTTCCGCTGTCAGGGTAGATCCACATTTCTCCCATATTTGGTCCCAAGCTTGCTGTCGCAGTGCTTGCATCTCCCATTCTTCCGTCTCCGTGTACAGTTCTCCGTAGAAGTCTTGCACATACTGCAGCAGCTGTTGTGTGGTGTCGGCCAGCGGCGCCCCTTCCTGGAAGGGATGTTGTAGAACCTTGATTGGTCTCGCCACCCTTTTGGATTGGCCTTGTTTAAAGAACGCCTCCGTCATTCTTTCTTTTAAGCGCACCCATTTCACCTTCGTCAACATACCCCAACGCTTTGCATCGTCTCTTTCCCACTCTTCCCGTTGGGCTTTTACTGTGGACCATTGCACCCACCATTCTTCCTCCTCTTCTTCTCCCGGCTCTGTTCCCAGTTCCTCCAATTTTCTGGCATATTCCTCTCCTGTACGCAAGTGGGCTTGTCTCGTAGCCCTCGCCCGCATCAGCATCAACCTTCTCAACTCCCCCAGTCCTGCCTGAAAGTGTTGCGTCGCAGATACCTCAGCCTTGCGCAGCGTTGCCCAGCATTCCCAGTGCTGTTTCACTAGCCGCACGTGTAGGGGGTCTTGAAACATCCAATGTGGCACTGTCGGTGGTTGTGCCCGGGAGGCCATTGCCGCTGGGAGCAGAAGTTCCGCTAGCAGTATTTTGTGATCCGACATGGCCACCGGCACAGTCGTGATACGGACCAGTTTCCTCAGCAGGTCCTGTTGCATCCACGCCATATCCAGGCGACTCCTCCTTCCCACCCCTGCCCCCGTCCATGTGAACCCCTTCTCTTCTGGCCATGATTTACGAAACACATCTTCCATTGCAAGCTCCGCCATCATTATCTACAGCGCTTCTGCATCCGGTTTCTCGGTCCCCCGTGGGGGGAGTCCAGGCCTGGTTGCACCACCGTGTTGTAGTCTCCCATCATTGCTGTGTTTGGTGTCTCTGGGATGTATGTCGGGAGTTCTCTCCAGAACCACTTCTTTTGTGTTGTGTCTGATGGAGCGTACACCGTCATCACCAGTAACCTCTCCCCTTCGATCTCCACCCAGACCCACGCCCACCTACCCTGTGTATCCACGAAGAAATCCAACACCTCTCCCCGGAAGTGTTTGGTCATTACTATGGCTACTCCTCCTATCGTACCCACCGTCGGCGCCCACGCTTGAAAGCCCTCCCCCAGCTCCAGCCTCTTTCCCCCTCGAATTTTCTCCTCCTTAAGCTTCGTTTCTTGTACACATAATATGTGTATCCTCTCCCTATCGACTAATCGTCGGAGCTCCCTGGTCTTCCATCTAATGGAGCGTTCCCCCAACCCTCTAACGTTTATAGTTGCTATTCTAATTGCTTTTTGCACAGTCATTTTCAACCCGTATATTCCCTCGATACCAGCTCCGCGCGCGACTGTAGTTCCATGTCTCCCCCTTCCTCCCCTTTTTCCAATCCCCCTCCTTACAGTAACCTTACTGCTCCGTTCTCCCCAGCCCTCTCTTCCATGTCCCCGCTGTGTGCCAGCGGGCTTGTCTCGTGGTTACCGGTCCCCCCTTCCTCCCTTTTGTCCATCACCCGCCCCCCACTCATCTCGGCTCCGCGTTCCTCTTCTATTCTCGAGGGGCTCCTCTAGCCCTCTTGCTCCTTCTTGTGAAGGTTCCCGGTGATGGTACGCTAACCGTCACCCTTGATCTCCTTGTTTGTCTGGCCGAGCCCCTCTCTTGCCCCGTCGAAGTCGGTCGCTATTGGTTTGCCGTAGATCCCGCATTCCTTTGTGAGGTCGTCGTTGATCTGTCTCCTCTCCGTGCTCTCGAGCCTGCCGCCGGCCATTCGTAGGCGTTTTCCCAGAAGCCATGCCCGATGAATCGCTTCCCTTCGGGCAGGCGTTGATTCACCCCCCTCAATACGTACACATCGACCGTTTCCTGTGTAGCATAGCTCCTTGTCGTGGCCATCGCCAGGGGTAACAACTGTCCAAAATCTTTCCAGAGGAACTGTGGAGCCATCGATGGTAGCCCCGGGCCAACGCGCAGCACCGCTTTAAGCAGGAAAACATTCAGTCCCATCAACTCGCCGCTCTTCGTTTTCTCCACCAACCTGATCACCGATATCCCCGTGATTGGTGCCACCTCGAAGTTCTCCCCCAACCATCCCCTCCCTACAGCCACCACTCGTTGTTGGGATGGGTGGTCTTCGAATCCAGCCATAGCGAACCTCATCTCCCCTTCGTCCGCCTCTTGCGTTGTCACCAAGATTTGTATATCTCCCAACCCCCTTTTGAAGATGAGCGGCAACACCCGAAGCCGGCCCGTACGGCACATCTCTGTGAAGGCTTCGTCCAACAGGGCCATTCTTGTTTGCATCTATGTATATCCCGCCTCTCTTTGATCTCGATTCTTACTCGTTGTTCTCTCCTCCGGTTCTTCCTCCCTTCCTTCCTCGACTGCTCTGCGCGCCGGATCCGGGGAGGAGAGGCGGATGCGCCCTTCCGGGAGGACGGTTCGCTCCCTTACCACTGGTGGCGGATCCGCCAAGAGTTCCAACGACTCCGCACTCCTCGAATTTCCGTCTCGCAAACTGATCGGCCGCCCTCCTGTGCTCTTCGGGGTTGTGGTGTGGCTGGGTGCCGCTTCAAAATTTTCAGTCCTTCCCTTCTCATTTGACTCCCCCTCGCCATGCCCCAGGTTCTCCTCACCTCCCTCGTAGATATCACCCCGTCTCTCCTCGCCTACCTCCCTCTCGTCCTGTCCCGAGTTCTCTCCCCTTCTTTCAGGGGGTGTTCCCTCAAAATTTTCGACCCTGCCCTTCGTACTTACCTCCTCCCCGCCCTGCCCCGGGTTCTTCTCACCACCCTCGCAGTTTTCACCCCGTCTCTCCGCGCTTATCTCCCGCTCATCCTGTCCCACGTTCTCTCCCCTTTTTTCGGGGTGTTGTATCGGCACTTCCTGTTGATCTCTGAGAGCCTCCAGCGCGCATCGATCCTCCTTTGTCTCCCTCTCCTCCTTCCCATTTTCTCCCCTCTTCTCCCTTGCCCCTCGTACAGTTTCCGACCCTTGCGAGTGCGATCCCTGTTGTAGCACCTCTTGTCTCGTCGTTTGTTCCCCCTGCGATCTCAAGACCGATGATCTTCACCCGAACATCTCCTCCAATTCCCTTGCTGTAGGGGTGGGTAGCACCCCTGCCTGCCCACCTCCTCATCCCTTCTTGGGAGACGGGCTCTGGTTTGTTGACGACGAGATCACCTGTCTATTTCTCCTCACTCTCCCAGTCTGTGCTCTCTCGCATCTCTTCTTTACCCGAGTTCTCGGTCTCTTGACCCCCCTCGGTCTCATCTTCATTCCCCCTATAAGCATCCTATCCTCCGGGGGGCACACTTCTGCACTCGGGTCCTCATCTGTCTCTCGCCTCCCCTCCTCTTCTCTACTATCGCTCTCAATCGGGACAACCTCCTTTCCTTTATTCCTCTCAGGTTCTCCCCCCTTGTCTTTCATTTGTTCTTTCCCCTTCTCACTCTCCCCTCGTGTTGTTGTTTGCAGCTCCATCGACTCCCAACCCACCCCCGGTCGGTAATCTTTTCGCCTCGGAGTCATTTCAGGTCTTGTGTCGTGATCGCTAGTACTCTCCGGGTGTGTCGCTCTCCATAATGCGTGTCATGTGCTGTCCACGTCCCTAGTCCATCTGCTGTGTGTTCTTGGGAGATCGCCCGGGTTGTCCACCCATGCTACCAACCCACAATTACCGCCTTCGCTTTGATGCTTCGGGAGGTTGAGATTCTCCATCCCATTCTCACACCCCTCTTGCTGGTCCTCACTCCCTTCCTGTTGCTTTCGCAATTTCATCTTGTCGTCGCTCCCTTTTACCTTGTTATCCGTGGCTCGCCCAGTTCCTTCCCCCAACTCCATTTGTTCGCTCTGTTTTATCTCTCTCTGTATGCCCCTCCCCGTTCCCTCCCCTCTCCCCCCTTGCCCTCTCTGTTGCTTTTCCCTATCAAGTGGGTCTTCCATGTGTACATCCCTTTCCCTATGCCCGCCTCGTCCAATTCCCTCCTCCTTCTTCCCTTCTTCCCCCCCTCCCCTTCCCCCCTCCTCGTTTTCCTCGTTCCAAACCCATGCTCCCGTGGCCATGCTCTCCTTGGGCTTACCTTGTCCACTTCCCTCCGCCACCTCCTCTTGTCCCCCCTTTCCTCCTTGTAACATCGCTTGTTGTTCCTCCTCCAACTGCGCTATCTTGTCTGGGATCGGGCGGCCCCCCTCCCCCGTGTGGGGCCGAGCTCCTCCTCGTTCCTCTTTCGTTGTTCATCGTTTGCTTCCTCACGATCCTCCATCACCTCATCCACCCTCTCATTTCTCTCCTCGTTCTGTTGCACCTCCCTGTCCTCCCCAGCCTCCTCCATCGTGTGATCCGATGGCGGTCCACTGTCTCCCCCCTCCTTCGTGACATCGTCAACCGGTCCGCTCTCGCCCCCCGGCTCCGAGATCTGTCGTATCCTTACTGATGGGAGGAAGCGGCCGGCCGAAACCCCCTCCACATCCACCAAACTGCCTTCCATCTGGAGCTCAGCGTTAATGACGTAATCGTACTCCTGTTCGAATCTAATCCATACTTCAATCTCTTCTTTCACATTCCGGGCTTCGCGGTGTCTCGGCAGCTCATTGCACGTTCCACGATTGTTCGACGTTCTTTTGGTAGGCTGGCCGGCGTGACGTGCCTACGTGCACCTCGGCCATCGATCCTTGCGGCTGCTCGTTACACCCGCTCCCTGGTTGATCCTGCCAGTAGTCATATGCTTGTCTCAAAGACTAAGCCATGCACGTCTAAGTGTGAACACTTTGCACTGTGGCACTGTGAAACTGCGAATGGCACTTTGCACACATCTAAGTGTGAACACTTCGCCGCATGCGACTGACTCATGGTGCTGGCCAGGGTCGATACCTCCACAAACCTCAATGCTGTCTAATCTGTCTGTTCTTTTTCACAGTTTGTACTTGCTTGCCGATGATAAGTAACCGGACTGTTGGCCCCCAGAATAGAAGGGGTATGTGTGTGTGTGAGTTAAAAAAAATTAAAAAAAATAAAAAAAGAAACTGCGAATGGCATAGTGTTCACACTGGCAGGATCAACCAGGTAGCGGGTGTGACGAGCAGCCGCAAGGAGCGATGGCCGAGGTGCACGTAGGCACGTCACGCCGGCCAGCCTACCAAAAGAACGTCGAACAATCGTGGAACGTGCAATGAGTTGCCGAGACGCCGCGAAGCCCGGCTGTTTGAATTGCAGGTGAAATTCCCGTCCGTAGGCCATCTCCAACGGCAAGGTACCGCACAATCCAACACAGCCCGCCGCACCCGCTCACAAGATTGGCTGCGAACAACACCCGCCCACACCACACCCTGAGATCCCAAGATAACCACACTATCCGAACAACGGCGCGCGCGAAGGAACCACCGACCGCCTCGGCCCACAGCCGGATGCCACTGCCCTCTAAGAAGCTGGCCACAAGGAAAGGTCCCCACATAGCTATTTAGCAGGTTGAGGTCTCGTTCGTTAACGGAATTAACCAGACAAATCACTCCACCAACTAAGAACGGCCATGCACCACCACCCATAGAATCAAGAAAGAGCTCTCAATCTGTCAATCCTTGCTATGTC